GATTTCCAGTCATTTTAATTCTGTGCTGTTGAAGGTTCTAAGTAAATAAATTTCATCAGCATTGTGCAGCTTTGTGGTTTCGCCCTCAGAAAACCCGCCCGCTTTGCATCCAGAAATTCAAAACCCATCTCTGCGTTGTGATTGGCCCGCCAGTTCTAGGGCGTGGGGCATTGATCGAGGCTAGACCCAATCACAGGCAAAAATTATTTAGGCCGCTGGCGGGTGGAGCTAGTTCTCTAGGCTAAGATTTAATCTTAATTTTGGGAAAGTATTCAGACTGTCCAGACCTTTGTAAGGCAAAGCTAAGAAAACAAACTTAATATAAGGGTTGAAGGAAGCATGAGGACTTACCTAACAATGCCATCACTGCTGAGGTTGGACACTGTAAGACAGTTAGATTTTGTTTCAGATCCTGAGTTACAGAAGATAAAGTGGAGCATTACACCCCAAACAGATCCAGCTTACTGTAGTGTCACAGAAGAAATGATTGTCCTTCTGGAGTTGACTGTAACCATCAGAAGGTGGGGGGGTGGAGGATTTACCATTAGGTATCAGGCTTATTTGTGCACATTAATTGTGCTTTGATAAAGATCCTTTGGCTAAAATGCCATCAGAACACTTATAATATTAAGTGTGTCTTAATCAAACACCGAGAGATAGAAAAACCTCTGAAAGAAATTAACCTCAATGCATAGCAGAGATTTTCCATCTGTTCCTCCAACATTGTGAGGTTCTTCTTAGATCCTGCTAAAGATCCAAAATAAAACCTATTGCTCTATATATGGAAATCTTATTTCGTATTCACTTACAGGTAAAGGAGAATAAAATGCCAAGCAGCTTAGCTGCCACATCTACATCCTGATCAATGCTTTTAGTACAAATATTTCAATAAGCAGATGGAAAGAACCTCCGAATCATGAATTCTGACCATAAAGACGTTTTTTTTTTGTATTCCCCATAAATACCTAGCTCATTACCTCTATATAGATATATTAAAGGCCTATTTTGTAAATTAGAGCTTGGTTTCTGTTGAGGCTCATCTGTCAGATTTAAAGTGCCTCCATTCAACAACATTTTCCCATAAGCCAATGTTTCTTTATTAAAATGCATTTTTATTGGTCTGATGTAATATTATGATATATAATGTTGTGTTTTCAGCATCTAGAAGCAGAAAATCTTCATGATTGACAGAAAAAGTGGAAACATACATTTGTATTTAATAAATCTATGGAAGGTGTTTCACTTTAATGAATGAAGTTATTGAATGCAATTGATTTTTCAGTAATCGTCCAATTAATTCAATAAAACTCTTCCTCTAACTAACTCCGATAGTTTTCTATAAGCATAGAACTGAGCCATGTAGGTTTTATTTTGCCTCATTTTTAAAATATAGATCATTATTCTGCTGTTGCAGCGTCTTTGTAAAGCGTCTCTGTTTTGTCCTCATCTGTGCAGCTTGGTGTCAATAATCCGAGGCCAGGTGCTGACCTCTGATGGAACGCCTCTGATCGGGGTCAATGTGACGTTCGTCCACTACCCGGACCATGGCTACACCATAACACGCAAGGACGGCATGTATGTACTTCTCTCTCTTTCACCAACATGAATTATACAATCTGACTGTATGATCTGGTTGAATTATCTCTATAAAGCTTCTTGAGATGAAATGGGATAAATTTGCCTTATAGAAATAAACTGGATTGATCTGTTCTGCATCTAGCTTTAAATTATATACCTAAGATTACCAGAACTTTTATAAGGTTCTGCCCAGTAGATGATGTCCAATAGTGTTTTTATTCTGTGGCTAGCATAGATGCAACACATTATTTACAGTTTGCTGGTGCTGTGATTTACAGCGGTCAGGCCCTGATTCCTGCTCTTTGCTGTGGCTTCTGCTTCTTTCCATTACTCTAAAGCTTTTGCCAGATTTTTAATCTCCTTCTGCTCTAAAATAGCTTATCTGGAGCACTAATTGTGCCCCTTTGCCTTATTTATTGCTGGCCTGTAGTAAATATAAAGCAATAAGTTATTAAAAGAGGACAGAACATTGCTGTTAGTTAGACATTCATGTGTCGCAGATGCATAAATTCCTCTGACACAGAAAGAACATGGTGCTTTATATAAATCTGTGAAAGCGAGCTGATAGTGCTCCCGTCTCTGTGGAACTCGTCCACAGTGGAACCAAAGCTGGAGCTAAAGATGTCTAACTGTGGGAGACGCCGTCGCTCTGTCACCTCTTTGTCTTTCTCAGAGCAAACACCATTATGCTAATTTAGCCAAGCATCATTCTGACCAGCTGTTTTCTACCGCGTTACGATGAGGCTGCTTAAACGCCGCTGTTAATAAACACACACCTGCCAACACGTCTGAAGCCGCATTCCTCCCATGATATTTCCCAAGCTGTTTCACAGAAACCTCTTAGAAAACATTTATCTTAGAAACACTGCTCAAAATTTCAACCCATCTGTCACTGGATCTGAGTTTCCCCTCATCTCGCTTCAAGAGGCGAATTTACATCTCCTCAGAATGCGGCTTGTTGGCTGACCAGTTGCATTGTGGGTGTTTTCATTCGCTGCGTTGCTGCGGTTGCTTGGATCGCTTCGCACACTTGGCTGAGAGGACACAATCAAGTGTGACTCTTGAAAGCTTAGAAGAACAAAAACAGTGTGTCGAGCCATATGCGCTCGTCATCCAACGTGTCAGACAGTTGACAGTCCGACTCTAGAATCCACACTTTGGCTGTTTTGGTTTCTTCTGTTCATAATGTCTGAAGCTAAAAACAAACAGAAGTTTCATGGTGAAGCTGCTTCCACATGTCAAAGCCTGTCAGGACTGCAACAGAACTGCTTTCAGATCTGTTTTCACGCAGGAAGCAGGGCTGTACGCCTTGTTCACACAGATTATAGATAAAGAACGTTTCTCTCTTCAGTGAATAATGGTGCTGTGCATTTCCACTGAACATTTGAGAATCTGTAAAAACTTGTCCATTTCTATTGTGTGCATAAGTCCCTACATTTTAAGGAGAAATTTAGGTAATTAACGGGTGAAGATTCTCAGTTGTCCAGGTCATATTAATTCCAGAAAAAATTTATTAAAAACATTCCACTGGACTTTAAACAAATTTAAGTCCAGTGGATTGTTTTTAATTTTATTTTTTTAGGTTATTAACCAACCAATCAAGCAATTAAACAACATACTGAATATTTATTGTTTTAAACAACGTAACAGTGATCAAATCGACTAGGAGAACAATCAACCTGGCTGCCAAACAACCAAGGAATTGGTTAACAGGTTGACTAAAGGTTTGACTAAAGATCCCTTGGTAACTGCCTGATTTTGTGGTGTTTAAGTTTAACATGTAAACATCAACCAGCCAACATATGAAACAACCCATCAGTCAATAGATCAACCAACCGATAGGGAAAATAACCAATAACAGAAGGTGTTAGAGGTTCAAAGGTTCCCCTAGAGGCAGAACGCTCTCCGGTTTTCCAGCCAAGCATCAAATCCAGCCAGTTAAGGACCAATTAAGAAACCAGAGCAACTTTCAAACCACTACTACGCTACAGACCAACCATTTAAACAGTTGTTCAACTAAACAAACCATCAAACTGTCACCAGTCACCCTATTAACCCAGCAGTCAACAAGGCAACCCCCAACCTACTGTAAGCAACTTATGAATGACTCAATCAACCTTCCAATCATTTAGTGAATCAAACAACTCACCAGCTAACCAATCACTAATGAAATCAACCAACCAATAACCATCCATCCATTTTCCATCCCTGCTGGGGTGGCGAGGGGTGCTGGTGCCTCCATCTCCAGCTGTCAATGGGCAAGAGGCGGGGTACACCCTGGATTGGTCACCAGTCTATCGCAGGGCAATAACCAACCAATCATTCTATAGATCAGTCAGCTAACTAACTAATTAATTAACCCATTAGCCATCTGAGGTATAAATGATAAAGATCATCCTGCCAGGCAAGCTACATTTTATCAGTGAATCAAACGAATCAATGGGTCATGGTGAAATGATGTAAACAATATAGATGTTATGACTCTGTTAGGAGTCTATCTGTTATGAGTCTATCTGTTAGGAGTCTATCTGTTAGGAGTCTATCTGTTAGGAGTCTATCTGTTGGGAGTCTATCTGTT